CGCCAGGTCGCCCAACCCCGTGGGCCCCTGCTGCCTGGTACCGGGGCCGCCCTCTGACCAGGCCGGTCCCACAGGTTCCGGTGAGGGTGAGGCGTGCAGGGACGCTGCCTGCTCTGTGGCTCTGGGGCAAGCACGCAGCGAGGAGCAGGTCGACGGGGACTCCTCGGGGCTCAGAGCTAAAACACCTGGTGCTGCTCGCTGGGACCAGTGGTGGGGCCTCACCTCGCACCTGCCCCACCGTGCCGCTCCGCGTGGACCAGCACCCGGGGAGCGTGGCCGCCCTGTTACATGTCCCCACAACCCTCCCGGCAAGGACGCCACCCCCCCGAAATGTCGGTTCCACTCAGCGGCAGAGACCACACCCCCCGGCCGTGGGGGAGTTGAATCTTGATGGAAACAGCAAACAGCCTGCTCAGAACCACCGCTCCCGCACAGCAGCGGCCCCGTCGGGTGGAGGCGAGTGCTGCTTACCGAGGAGCAGGAGCAGGCCAGCCCGAAGGGCCTCTCGCTCCACTGAGGCTGTGGCCACCAGCGGGGTGAGCCCAGACCCGGGGCCGCAGGCACAGGAGGGAAGCCCTGCGACATTCGCCAGGGCCGTGGCCGGCTCACAGCGTCCCGCATCCTGACCCCACGAGAGTCAGTGTTTACAACCACGTCGGTACCTGGTCTGGGCCCTTGTCAAACATCTTCCGTGTCCGGGGGAACTGGTGGGAGTGGGGCGTGTACTGCACCCCCACTGGGCCCGCAGCGCCCGGCCGGCCTGGAGGCAGGTCTCGGCTGACTGGCTGCTTGGCCACGTCGTTGGTCAGGCTGGAGCTGCTGGCGCTGGAGGTTGGCGGGGACCCTCTGCCGTTGGGGAAGAAGGACATGGGTTTTACCCAGAGCCAGTGCTTAGAAACCAAACCCTAAGCAACTTCTGGGGTCGCCCGCCCCCAGTCCTGCAAGTGGGCCCAGGGTCATCAGCCCAGAATGCCCTCGGCTGCCCGGCTCGACTTCCAAACCCGGCTGCTCGTGCAGCTCCTGCCTGCGGGTTCTGAGCATCGTCCTCCCCGAAAACGGGGGCAGCGCAAGGCAGGTGCAGTGGGACCGCGAGTCTGCCGGGCTCTGCTGCTGCCCAGGACCCCGTGCTCGGCCGTGTGGACACAGACCAGTGAGAGGAGGGTTCCCCACCCCGGCCACCCGCTGCGGACCACAGACCCTCTCTGACAAGTTCTGAACAGAAGTCGGGTTCTGTTAACCTCTGCTGTTCCAACTGTGCAGGGGAAGGTGGGGGAGGACTCGAGGAAGGGCTCAGATGAGGAGATGTGGGAGGGGGCCCCCAGGTCCCGGGACAGCTACCCCACTTACCCCGCCTGGTGGATGTGCACGCCCTTGTTGGTGGGGCTGGCGGGCGCCGACTGCGTGAGGGAGGAGGTGGGGAGGATGCGCTGAGGCCGGGCGTTCACTGTGGCCTGAGGAGCAAAGGGACAGGTGAGGTGGGCAGTGGCGGCGACAACTCGGAGGCCACAGGACTAGCGCAGGTTGGCGCTGCTCTTGGCAGAGGGACTCCCACAGCAACGTAAGGTCCCGTCTGACATTCTCCCCCGAACGTCACCCTGCAGATAAAATGATCTTCTTTTGCTTTTCTGGAAGAAACCTGTCTGGGTCTAGGGAGGCTCCGGGAGGACCCCCTCGAGACGCTGTCGTGAAACCTGGCTGGGACTCGCGAGGAGTCGGGGCCAGGAGTCAGGGAAGAGGCTCTTCGTGCTCCCTTTCGGGAGGGCCCCCTCCCGGGCCTCCCCGCCCCCTAGGAGAGAGCAGCTTCCTGGTGAAGCCTCAGCCCCTCACCTCCTGCTGCACAGCCGACCTCGTGCTCGGAGGAACCGGCCCAGCTCAGCCTGGGCTCCTCGCGGAGGAGCCCCTGCAGGATGGAGCCCAGACCCGGGTGTGGGCGCGTCCTCCCACAGCAGAGGTGGGCCTGCCGCTTCACCCGGGAGGGGGTCTGCACCGGCCTGAGCCGGCCTGCAGGAGGGGAGCGGCTTCGCTGTGATTTTTCAAAACAGGGAGGAGGAAACAAGAGACAAGAGGAGCCTCGACCTCTGTGGGGTGAACTCCAGGGGGGCCTTGCACTGGCTGCTCCCGGAGGACCGAGTGTTCTGGACCCTTCCACTCAGCAGTTAGGGCGCCGTATTGACATTCAGCCAACAGACAGAAAATACAGAAAACGGAGCAACCAGCGTGTCATCGATGCCTCCCAGATAATCCTTCACTTTGAAACAAAAGCCGCAAGAGCTGAATTATAATCAGCCTTTGAAAAATGGCTCTTATTTTTTGCATTATAAAAGCTGTACTGTTTGCTTGCCTTGCTGGGGCATTTAATTATTTGGCCAGCTCTGCACACATGGACACCCCCACAAAGCCTGAAAGCCAAGCGGTCCCGTGCGGAGTCTAAAAGGAGAAGAGAAATCACCGCCGAGAAACTCTGAACGTGTCTCTTCAAAGTCTCCGGAAAATCAGTGGGAGGTGATGGGGGAAGGCGGAACACTTTGGGGCTGAACTGAAGATTCAGCGGAGTCATCACCTTTCAAACGCTCCCTGGGCTCAGGGGGTCCGCCGCTGCCTGAGCTGGAGCCCGACTTCCCCCGAGACCCCAAAGGGAAGGAGTGGGCGCGGGTGAGTGACTGCCCCCCTCCCGGCCCCGCCTGGTCTCACATGGCCCAGAGGGCGAGCGAGGGCCCCGCTCCGGCGCAGTTCATGCCAGCGGCGGCTCCACGCACACCTAGTTCTGAGTTCCTTCTGGAGGCCCTGAGGGCTGGGCACCCATCAGCCGGCGAGACCCCACGACTGGTGATGCATCCTGGGGTCGCAGGCTTGGATGAAGCTGCTTTGCCTCACATTTCCTGTTTGTGCACCGAACATCGCCTCCATGGTGACCAGGTGTTCTGTGCGGGAGCCGGAGGTGCCTGCGGACCTGCCTGTTGGCGGGAGCCGTGGACAGAGGCCCTGGGAGCCGGGGCCAGCGGGAGGCACCCCCGGGGAGGCCCTTCCCGCACTGCTCCCAGCTGCCGTTTTACAGAGAGCAGAGCACGTGGCCGGGAAAGGGGGACAGAGAAATGGCAGCGGCTGGTGCTGGATGCCAGGGTCGGGGCTGCAAGCTGAGGATGATGCAGCGTGGGTCTGCAGGACCCCAGGGCCCCACGTGAGCCCCGCTGGCCACCCACCCGTCCTTCTCGTGCGGCAACTCCCTGTCACCTCCCTGACGCTGCCCTGGACGCCCTGGACCAGCAGACACACCAAGACGTCCCTTCCTGATAAGGCTCAAGGACAGAAAAGAGGAACAGAGGGGGGTCGCAACGGTGGTGACAGGTCACCTTTCAGAGGGCGGCAAGCATCCGGTTAGAAGGCAGACCCTTGGGGCAGCTGTATCCTCTCAGCCCGATTTGCAGGGACACGGGCACACAGGCATGCACACACACACACCCCAGCCCTGCCTCTGCTCCCTGCCCCACACAGTTCATGGGGGGGGCCTCCAGACCCCCGAGCGCCTTCTTTACTCTGAGCTCGTCAGCTCGACCACGCTGCCTCACGTGGACACGAGAAAGCCCGATCCAGGGCAGGGAAAACATCCCACGGGAACGTGGGCCACAGGACGGCGCATTTCCCAACTGCATCTCAGAACAGTCGGGGTTGCGGACGCCGATGGGGGCTTCGGGCGGCTCTCGGGGGTGGAGTGTTTGTTTCAAGAGTGTGCCTGTTAACTGCACACTGAGGGTCTGGATCCACGTGTGAGGGGCTCCCAAGAGACTGTCCACAGTCGGCTCTGGGCTGAGCGCGAGGCAGGCCGCACTGGCCGCCTGACCTGAGAACGGACACCTGTAACAGCACGTGGCCCTGCTGACCCAAAGAGGAGGTCTTCTGTGAGCTGCGCTTCCCAGGTAAATAACGTAAGCCCGCGACGGGTCAGCAAGACTGTGAACGTGTGACCTCAGGTTCTGGCGGTACTTTGGAGCATGCTTTCCTGGGTATCTCAACCCCTGTTTCATTTACTAGTGACTCAGGCCGCTGGCTCTGCCTGTAATTAAGTGTTAACCTCTGATTTCCAACACGTGGCGCGGCACACGCCCAGCAGCAGACGCGGCTCCTGACGGTCACGGCACAATTTTTAAGTGAGTTTGTATGTTTATGAACCTTCTTGTAAATATTAAAAGTAGTGATTATTACGACACGTGCCCCTGACGTCTGAACAGCCGCAGCGGAAGCGTCGCTCCCAGTGCCCCCGAGCCCCGGGCGGCAGGAGCGGCCCGAGGGGGCGCTGTGGGGCTGGCCCGGTCCCGGGGCATTAGTCTCTGCTCTTCACCTCTACGTGGTTTGAAACTTTCCACAAGAAAACTACAAGCAAAACCCAAACCCCAAGCCCGCGGAAGCTGGGCTAAAGCGTGAGCTGTGCGGATTCCTACATAGGCGGCTGGTAGCGGCGCCTGTGTCTGGATGCAGAACTCTGGGGCGTCGCGGAGCAACCGGGCTGTCGTGACTTTGATGAATAAAACCTTGGCTTCAGACTCAAATATCTAAAATAGGCCTGTTCCCTGCGAATTGAAATGCAGCCCCTCTTTGGTTACCAGAGAAGAAAGACGTGTTCTGAAACTAAATTGGGGACAAGAAAGGATTTCCTTAGCGTTCATGCTGCTAGATTCCTCAGTAGCAATGTTTACTCTTAAAACACGCACGCACGCACACACGCAGCCTGTGCTGTGCCCCTGCCAGCTCTCCCAGGGCACAAGCTCCAGGCGGCCCGCTCTGCTCTCCACCCTCAGTGTGGGCGTGCCTGTGGGCGGGCCAGCCGCGCGCGCACTGGGTGTGTCACCTGAGGTCAGCGTGGCGGGCAGGGGGCCACGTGCCACTTTGCCGAGCGCTCCTAGGGCTTGGGCGGACAGCGCTGTGCTGAAGGCACGAGGCTGTGTCCCGGGTCGCTGTGATCTGCTGGCAGAGCTGGGGGGCGACGGGAGACTAGACAAAGGGTGTTTGATCGCCCTGAGGTGGGGTGAGGGGCATTTCTGGCTCATAGCTGCACACTTCACACATGGCCCTTGATGACACGGTGTTCCTGCCTCGCGGGCCTGAGGGACTCCTAAGACGAACGGCTCTCTGAAGGCAGGTGTGCTGTGATGAGCTTACAGCCATGAGACTTCAGTACCAGGCACGAGATTACAGACACACAGACACACACACACGAGGCAGGAGCCAGCCTTCCTAGGGGCCCTGTGCCCCCAGGCAAGCGGCCACCAGGGGAGGACCCCTCAGATGTGAACGGGGGCACGCCAGGTAAACTAACCCGTGAGGCACGTCCCTGTACTCCTGCGACTTGTCTGTGAGCCTGAAACGCCAGCAGAAAGTTACGAGAATCTTTAAAAATGCCGCGAGGAACGGCTTCTTCGCAGCCTGTGCTACTGCTCCGCTCCTGAAAGGTTAACTGCCACGAGGACCGTCCAACCGCCACACACAGCGGGAAAGCCAGGAACCCGTGACTCTGCGCTGGAAGCACTTGCTCCGAGTTTCTGAGCCGTGGTGGAGGAGGCCTGAGGGCGCCCGGCGGTCCCCGCGGGGACTGTCACAGCGGGACCCGGGACACGAGAGCTCCGTGGGGACGCCCCCCACGTACCTTGTAGGCAATGCTGTTGAGCACCTTCATGGCCAAGTCGGAAACGTCCGGGTAGGGGTCCGCAGCCAGATGCAGCAGGACTCTCCAGATCTGAGTGTAGACGCTGTTGAAGGAGACCCCTAGGAGAGAACCGGAGAGGCTCCATCACGACGAGCCGCCGCTGCGGCCGGGCGGGCCAGGGCGGCTCCCCTTCTGAAAACCGGACCAAGTACTGGGGGGAGACAGTTGAAAGAACTGGGCTGAGAGAGGCCCGGTTCTGTCACCTGGTGCGGGGCCCAGAGACTCAGGAATGCCCAGGGCTAAAGAGGCTGGATCTTTCCAGAAGGAGAAGTCAGAAAGGGGCAGGACCTCCTCGCAGCCTCGCGACTGGAGGGCACCGCCCAGCCCCGGAGCGGCGCTGATTTAACGCCTAGATTTCTGGGAGCTCCGTGGCCTCGCGAGCAGGGCGCATTGGCCGGGTCCACCCTGAGTCTGCATCTGGGGCCTCTCTGGGCTCTGTGACTCACTCAGTCTTCTGCCCACACCCGCCTGCGGCCCGTCCCGAGCTCCAGGAGCCCCCGGGACCCCAGGCACCCAGCACTTCCCGAGTGTGCTCTCCACACGAGGGCCTCTGCGTACTGGGGGCCAAGGCAGGTGAGACAGGACACAAACGAGATGGGCGAATCGTGGTCACGAAGGAAAGGAATGTTTACGTGGGGGGCAGGCTCCCCCGTGAAGGCGGCTCACGGTCCTGGCCGCAGGCATCAGCCCCGCCTCATAGCAGAGGACAGCCAGGCCCAGCGTCCAAAGGATGAAGGGTTGCGACGTGCACTCAGCTGACCCTCAGGCCAACACCGCCCCACAACCCGGGCTGCCTTGGCAGCTACACCCGTGGGCAGGGTGGCTCCTTCTGTCAGAGCAGGACCTGGAGGGTGGGGAGCCAGCCACATGCCCGCGTCCTTTGGGTCTGGGGGGAGCTGGACAACCTGTCAAAAAGCCAGTGCCTGTCCAACAGCAGGGAGTAAAAGAGGGCCTGAAACGAGCTGGGACCCCCATGCCCCCTGACCCCACGCCCCCGGACTGGCCAGCTCCTGGTGGAGCCCCGCCAGGGCCACGAAGGACTTAAACACCGGAGGTGCCGTCGGAGGCCCATGTTCCCTGATGGACACCACTGTTCATGGACCGGGTTTTACACGACACGTTCAGATCAGAGAGGCTGGACGGAGGTTCAGAGTGAAGGTCGGTTTCTCACGTGAGTCCGGCGTGGACCCTCATGGACACGTCCTAGCTCACCTCAACCAACACCCTCTCGCTCGCCCGGGAGGCGGTACGGCTCGGGGCCCCTTTCTACGGGGACAGCGGTGTCCGCATGCGCACAGCGGCTGCCTGCTGCACGCGCCCGTCCCCAGGGCACCGGAGCTGGAGGAGCCGACCCCTCACCGGTGGCTGGTGCACGTGGCACCTGCCTCCGCACGGCCCTCCCGCACCCTTCAGTGTAGAAACAGGACAAAAACCTCGACTCTCCAATGTGAGCAGCTCTCCAGACTGACGGAGCCTGAGGGGATGCCTGCCAGTCAGTCCAGAATCTCTGCAGGGACGTTTCCTAAAAGCTGCCCCGCCACCCCCAGACCGGCCGCGGGGGCACCTGCTCGGTGACGTGCGGGCCAGCTGCTGCTGCTTCTTGTGTTCAGAGAGGAGGAGGGCGAAGTCACCCCACACCTGCTCGGCCGGGACGGCCCCGACTCCCGAGACACAGCACGGCCACGGGCGCGGCTCGCTCAGGACGGGGAGAAGCGCCCCGCACCACACCCCCACGCGAGGCTCCGAGACTCCCCACACCCTTCCCGCCCCTGGCCTCCCCGCGAAGGGCGCAGGAGTCTCAGCCTGACTGCAGATGATGGACCCGGGGCAGCGGGCGGCGTGGGGAAGGGGGGACGTGGGCCTCCAAGGAGCCCCCGACCGGGTGATGGCTCAGGACAGAGCCTTCGTCAAGGTGCCTCTGGTTTAAACATGAGGAAGGGGTGCGGGGTGGCGTGGGGGGTCCCAGCTGGGTGACCTTGGGACACAACGTGGGGGTGGCCGATGCAGAGCCGGGGGGCACAGGGCCCCCCCCCAGGGGAGTCTGGGCACTGAGGGAGGGTGCACGCTGGCGGCTACCGTCACTACAAAACTGCAGCTTCGGTTTCTGCCGTTGACTTTCTTGCAGATTTTGACTTTGCTGCCACACGGTCTGTGATTCAGCAGGGACACAAAAGCATCTCATTCCTGTGAGTCTTTGGCCACAGTGACTGGTGCACAATTTACCAGTGAAAGCACAGAACCGGGGCCTGGAAGGGCTGTCCCCGCCTCACCCCTCCCCGGGCTGGCCACCACCTCTCGGCCACTCTGCTCTGTGAGCCACGCTGGCTGTAAATCTGCTGTGTCCACATCGCAGCAGTCCGACTCCCGGCAGCATGGAGCCCGGGCCGGAGCGAGGGCG